AATTATGTCAGTTTCTTCTTACCCTTATTGGCATGAAATTGAATAACATTTGTAACAATTTCAGTTTCCAAGTTAATACAAACTGGCTGGAAGGTGTAGAATTAGGTATGAATAATTATTTAAGTGGAAGTGTAGCTAACTACTTAGCGAGTTGGCTGGTCACAGTCTCGCAGATATATAAATGATATCCATTGACGCAGAACCCTGAGGAGGTGGGCCTTGATGTAACAGGCCCAATGTGTTCCCTGTTGCTGACTTACTAGTTGCGACTTTTATCTAGCGGTGGGCAACGGGACGGGACGGGATATCCGTCCCGTTTTAAACGGGTACCCAGTCCCATTTGGAGACCAAAGTCGATCCCATATCCCAAACTCATATGGGAAACGGGTACCCATTACCTGTACGGGACGGATAACGGGTACCCATACTACCCATAAATACCCAAAGTTTAAACCACTAAAATTTTAACAAAAGTTTAAACTTAACTTGTATTTGCTTAACAATCACAAGACACAAAATAAATCCCAATCACAAATACTTGGTTTGCAAATTACACATTCATGAACAATCACAACACATAGAAATAAATCATTCCAAGTACCAAATTATAAAGAAAAAAGTTTCATTCGACACATCCCAACTCTCTCTACTAATTCACCAAACATGTCAGTGAAAGAGTGAAAGGGTAAGGGCCCAAATGGAATTGAAATTGAAAGGGTAAGGGCCGAATTGGCCAATGGGTTTTGAATTGGGTTGGGCTTAATTAAATTTCTGCATTTGTATTGAATGGGTATAACGGGTACCCATATTACCCAAACGGGTATTCGCGGGTAACCCGCGGGTACCCATATTAGGAATGTTCAATCCCAAGTCCCATCCGTTTATAATATTACGGGTAATATGGGTACCCATAACCCTTAAAAAACGGGACGGGTACGGGTATACCCAAATACCCGTTTCCCGTTGCTCACCCCTACTTTTATCTATGGTTCGTTTGGAAGTTGCGATAGTTTTGTTGAGATTGTCATTATGCATGTATTGTTTACAATGCATCGTTTTTTTGTTTTTTTAGCAGAAACAATACATGGATTGTTTCTGTGATGTGACAAAAACTATCACTCATTTTGAGTGATTGTTATATCTCAACTTTTAGTTGAGATTGTTGAGATAGTTGAGTTGGGATTGTTTTGTTTCAACTTTTAGCTGATGCGACATACACAATCACACATACCAAACGTTGTATTCTACAATGCATCAAATTCGACAATACATGTATAATATTATACATGCATTCTCAACAATACATCTATTTAACAATCACAACTTCCAAACCACCCCTTATTATACAAAAAGTACAACTTGTTTGACGCCACGCCGGTAATGTCCAAATAAGAAAATGCAACACTAATGTCGTCCAATGACTATAAAACACATGCATGAAAGCACATCCAATTACATAATCATAACAAGTAACAACCTGATTCTACATGATATGCATATGTTTAACCGCTTATTCAAAATTTGAATAGTAGTTATTTCCCCATTTCTAACGGATTAATTTTGCAAATCAAATATATTGTTAATAATTTACACGAACAATCATTGGGACGAAGGCAGAAAATTAGTAGAGGAAACAAAAAAAACTGAATTACTGTAGAGAAAATTATAGCAAGGAGCCGCACAAATTCCGCCTTCACAATCACACCACATAACACTCTTTTTTTTTCCTTCTTTCCCATTTCCCAACCCTCTGATCCCCGTATTTAAATCTCACCCCCTTCTTCTTCTTCTTCCACTGACCAGCTCTTTTTCTATTTCCTTTCCATTCCCCTACTCTCTCTCTCTCTCTCTCTCTCTCTCTCTCTCTCTCTCTCTCTCTCTCTCTTTGCTTCAGTCTCCCGCCAAAACATCTAGCCGTCTTGTCTTCTCCGCCACAATTTCCACTCCGAAAAACAATGGGCAAGGCCTCGCGGTGGTTCCGCTCCGTTCTCGGCCTCAAAAAGCCCTCCCAACATTCTCTCACCCAACCGCACACCACCCCCAAGGAGAAGCGGCGGTGGAGCTTCGTGGTGTCCCGGCGGAATACGGTCGCGGAGAACGATCACGGCTGCGAGAGAGAGGAGGATCCGAAAGAGCGAGCGATCGCCGTGGCGGCGGCGACGGAAGCAGCGTTGGCTGCCGTTCACGCCGCCGCGGAGGTAGTCCGGCTGACCGGCAGCGGAGAAGGCAGCGCCGTCGTCGGAAGCGGCGGGGGAAGCTCGTCGGCGTATGTCACTGGGAGCCTCGGGCTCCGTGAGGATTTCGCCGCGCTTAAGATTCAGGCAGCTTTTCGAGGCTATTTGGTCAGTCACTAAACCATAGCCTTAATCCCTTCATTCATTGCGTTTCATTTATTTCTAAATTAAATTATATGTTCGTAAATCATTCCTGAAAATTCTCAAATCCCTATTTCATTCTTCCGCGTTCATAGCCGATTTGGTTGCCACGTGTCACTATATCCGTCGTCGTCTTCCTTTCTGTCTTCAGATCACCTGAACTCTCAATCTGCAAGATTCTCGAATCTGGTCATGATGTAACGGCGTCGTTTTACTACACACACTGGACACTGCCACACTTCACTCTACTGCCCTTTTTCCGCCTTCCTCTACGGATGACGTATGAGCTGTTACCCCCGTGTCGTTTTCCTGAAAGCGTCCAAATTCTCTGCTACTTGTAGCTTTACCCCCAAAGTTTTCATTTTCCTATTTTTTCCCCATTTCAACTCTCAAAATTAGCAGCTGCTGCCCGCCACACGGCATCGCCGGTCGTCGTCATCATGGAGTTTTGTTTTGATCTTTTTGGACCCACTGGATAGTTGAAACTTTCTGCAACTAATTAGGGGGGGAGATTGTTGGGCCATAGTTGGACTTGGCGGTGTGATGATTTGCAAGTTGGACAAAAGGTTATTATTATGCTATATAAATAAAAGTCTTGTTTATGCAGCAGCTTGATTAAAGTCTTAAACATAAACAACTCTAGCAATAAGTATAGTGGCCGGCCTGAGCAGGGGGATCTCAATGTAACAGTGTTCTGGTGGGTTGGTCAATCCGCGGGCTCGGCTGTTGAGTGAAGTAGACATAAGCACCTACATTACATACACTATGATCCTAGAATTTGATTTTAATGGCTACCTCCTGTTCTATTTCCCTCCATCCAATGTTCCATCTGGCGCCAGAATTCGAATCCCAGCAAGCTGCCCAAACCAATCAAACATTTCACAGATGATTACTACTGGTAAACCCATAATGCAATTGGGTGAATGAACTGTGACTTGTTTTTGTCCAAAGGCACGGAGAGCCCTCAAGGCGTTGAGAGCACTGGTCAGGCTACAGGCACTGGTAAGAGGCCACATTGAGCGGAAGAAAATAGCAGCTTGGCTGCAGCAGATGCAGGCAGTGTTGCTCGCACAGGCACGAGCTCGCGTCGGACGATTTCAACTCTCTGAGTCATCCAAGTCAAACGGTAGCAAATCTTCTCATTCTCATCATCATCACCACCACCTCCACCACCAGGTAAACAAACTAAACCCACTTTCTCCCGGCTTTACCTTTGGAAACAGCGTTAAAGAAGAAAAGTTGGACCTTTTACTACTTATATATGAATGTGTTTTCGGGGAAAGCTCCTTTATTTAGGAACTCTAGACGGCAGCCAGCAGCCAAAGCCATCAGTGTCTTCCTGTTGAAGTTACTTTTGGTCTTTCAACCATTGTTTGTTGGTTTCCAAAAAAAGAACAGATGTTTGTTGATGATACTGAATTGAATTTGGGCTGGCTGCAGAGTCCAGCTACCCCTGAAAAATTTGACCATGGAAACCGTACCAAGAGTGGCAAATATGAACCTTCATCATTACTCAAGGTAAAAACATAGTCCTGCTTTCACAATGCACATAGTTGTCTGGTTTCTCGTCTGATTGCATTAATTTGAATAGCAGAGGAATGGGTCAAGATCCAACGACAACCAGCCACATTCCTCCCTAAGAAGGGCAGAAACTCGATCACACCGCGGTTCGTGGGACCCTTTAGCAGTGGCGATGGAGGAGGATGAAAAGAACCGCAGCTACAAGATCCTGGAAATCGACAATGGCGGAGGGAGACACCAATACCACCATCACAGCCAGAATAGACGAAGGAACATGTTCCACTCGGCCAACCTAAGCTTCTTCTACGACCAGTACAGTCACAGCTTCATGACATCAAAGGATACATGTCCAAGCCCCACCTCCGGCGAAGTCCAGTCCACAATGTACCCTCAGGAGGTCGTCGATCAGGAAGTGTTCTGCACGGCAGAGAACAGCCCGCAGGTGTTCTCTGCTGCATCTTCGCGTGGTGGGAAGAAGAGTCCATTCACTCCCACGAGCGACGTGTCGAGAAGCAGTTTTCTGAGTGCATTTGCAGACCACCCGAACTACATGTCATATACCGAGTCAGCTAGGGCGAAAGCGAGATCATTGAGTGCTCCGAAGCAGAGGCCGCCTCAGTATGAAAGGTCAGGTTCTGGCAAGAGGTTAGGAGAACCGAGATCAAGCAGTGCGCAGAGGGCTTCTGCTGTGAGAGCAAGCTTCTCGAGTAAAGGTTACCCTGGTTCGGGCCGGTTGGACAGGATGGGTATGCCCATGTGGCAGAGATGCTAGCTTCAGCAATAGAAATTGTAGCCTTAGGATGACTTGATACAAAGAGGTAGTTTATTAGATTGATTGGTAGGGTTTGTTTCTTGTCTACATGTCTAGATCCAAAAAAGGGGCAGCTATGAATGGGGGATTTGGGAGGTATGTACAATGAAGGAATGGGGACAAGAGACTATCTGTCGGGGGATGTCTCGACGATGTAATAACTAAGGAACATTGAAGAAACATGGGATTTGATTTCAGCTATGGCCCCCCACGTTTCAACCACCACTTGTCATTGCAAATTAGTTGCTAGAACATGGCCATGTCTAAGAATAATGGATGGGAATCAATTATAACCTCTGTCAGCTATCTGAACTAACGAAACTGGAAAGAAATTTCCCGTAGAAAGCCTGTCTGTACACGATACTTCGCTGCTTATATGTTCACTGAAAAAAACTATATGCATAACGCATGTACATAAAAACGGTAAACCAAGATGGAAGCAACAAAGTGGGCAAGGAATAAAACAAAAGAATTGAAGACTGGGGAGAAAGATTTAGATAGACTGTGATACTGAGAGACACGGGAACAAGAACTGAGATACTCTCAGTGCTGACAGTCCCATCGCGAAGTCGGCACACAGCTCAGGTAATGACACCAGCTGCAGCGATCGTTTCCATTCTCTCCTTTGAACAGCATCACCAACCCAACAACGAAACTGTTGAAAAGAACGAGAATAGCTAAAATAGTTAGTTCCTTTTTCAAGTGTATGAATACTGGAGGAGATGCTAAGCATTTAGTGTGGTTTAGATCTTACCCAACAATAAGGAGCACTGCGGAGATCAGCCAGAACACATATTGGTAAGCCTTGTGCTTGGATTTAACACGGGCGCCAGGTGGGAGGTGTCGGCTTTCAACCCAGCCGAACTGTGGGCGGATCAGAAACACAAAGCCAAGGAGGAAACCAGCCAGGAAGCCCCCGATGTGGGCAAAGTTGTCTACGTGTGGAAGTATACCCACTGCTAAGTTGATGACGATGATGACCAGTAGTGTGAGCAGAGCAGCAATCTGTTGGAAGGACGACATGTAAAAGAGTGGTAAATCAGTAGAGTGAGAGGCTTCATTCCACTGATAAATTTTGAAAGTTAACAAGCATACCTTATTACTGTAGATAGTCCAGTTGGTAAGCAGCTCGGATAACATGGCTCCCAGCAGTCCAAACAGAGCACCAGAAGCACCAACTGAGATGTTCTTCTGAATGAATAATGCAGACAATATGCTCCCACCGAGTCCCGCCAACAGGTAGATTATTCCAACACGCACTGCCATATGAAGAATGAACTAGTTAGAATGCTTGAGTTCAAAATGTACAGAAAATTACAGAGGAGAACACCCTATGTGGTGGTGGATGCTCGGATATATCACACTTAGTAAGTGACCGTAAGTTACTTTCCATCTATGTATAAAGCATCACATACCGAATCCGAATTGCTGCTCAAGTCGAATGCCGATAAAGATCAAGCTCAACATATTCGCAAGAAGATGAATGACTCCAGCATGCAACCACATGCAAGTAACAAGTCTCCATCCTTGATGCTTATGCACTACTCTATCCCATTCCAAGGCTCCCATTTTTTCCAGTCTGCAAAAGTGATAATAAGAGTCGTAAATGTCTATAAAATTTGACATAGTAATTATCTGATGGGGCCATTCATGTACCCATCCAGAGCAAATATAGAAAAATGAATCACAACAAGGGAGCGACTAGAAGTACCAGTGTGTACTTCAGAAAACAAAACAAAATACTCAATGAAAAGCCCATAGGAACACGCACACGGAGTGAAAATTTTCTACAATTCAAGTGTCTATCTTACATATCGGTTACCTAAGTGTACACAAACATATCCAATCTCAGACACTGCTGAGAGAATCAAAGAAAGACAAACAGCAGGGCCAGTTAGTTAAACCCAAAGTAAACCTTACCACATGTTGAATACCTAGGTAGGATGAAACAAGAAGCATTAGAAGATACAAACATCAAAAGACTGACTCCATTATAGTGTTCCAGCTCACTTCAACTCAATTAAGAGAAACTAAATCACTCAATTATACACATCCACGAAAGCAACCTCAAATCACACAGATTCGGCAACTCCATCTGATGCACAGACTATAGAGCCATTGATGCTTCATCTGTTAAAGAGTCTACTAATTTTGGTACTTCAACACCAAGATGACAATTAGCCCTATGAACCTGTAAGTTCCGTATACTTAATTATGAAGCTAGCAAAATTCCCTAGATGAACAGAATTCCTAACCAATCACCAAGTATAGCAAAACAGACATCACAGCCACTATTGACACAAAACCAGATCAATCACGAACTTCCACATAACAATTTCAAATTCCATCATTCTCAATTCCGCAAAAGCAAATCCAATAGATTCAACACTCAATCAGAGCAACCCAAATCAAAGAAGAAGAAGAAAGTCATTAAAAAGCCTGCACCCAACTTTCAACAGAAAGAGGAGGCAAAAGTAAACGATGGGGGGAAAAGTGGAATCTCAGGAACTCACGTAGAAGATGATGGCCCAAAAAGAGGATTCTCCCTCAAAGGCTGAAACGATAACCTCCCAAGGAACCTAGCTACACACTTCCCTTCAAACCCGACATTGTTGCGAGGACAATTGTTGACATACATGGCCACAATGAACACAGCGACGTTTGCAAACACAAACATGGGGACCAGCCATGAAGTCCAATGCTTCTCGGAAGTATCGACATAGTAAGGAGCCAAGCTGGTACTATTCCCTCCTCCTCCGCCGTTCTTCCTCCCTCGCTCCAGATCCTCCGCCGGCATATTTCCTCCCCCGAAAATCCCCCTCTTTGTACTTCAATTGCAGAGCACGAAGACAGAGTTTCGAGAACTGGGAATTGCGGAATTGGAGCAGCTGCAGTATATAGAATTGACGGGGAACCCAAGAAGTGGCTTGAAAGGGAGAAGAAGTTAAGAGAGGCGGAATTCAGAGGAGTCCAGAACAAGTGGGGGAAAAGGGGGAAAGATTGCTTTTCCAGGGAAGATTTAGGTGGGCGGAAGTGTTTTTAGGTTGTGGGTACTTTGGCGTAAGGAAATAACGTTTGTGTGGTGGGTCGAAGAAGATTTCTGTTCTGTTCTCTCTCTCGCTCTACCTCTTTGTTGGAAGAGTGAGGTAAGCGTGCGGTGGCAGTGGGCAATGGCGGTGGTGGTTGGAGAGATCGCCGGTTGGCGAGTCGACGTTGCTCGCTGTCCCTATTGCTATTTCTTTTTCTCGCGAGAAGGTGGGGTTTTGGTAATTCTCCAGCTTTTCTTTTCGACGCGTTAATGAAGAGTTCGTTGCGGGGTGACGATCACACGAAATTACCATCAGCACCCTTTTACTTTTTTATAAAAGATAATCTGATAATCATATCTATTGATAATAAATGATTAGAAAAATAGGCAGGTACATTATGGAATTAAATCAGGTCAGAAAATCAAATAAACAACATGTAGTTGGATACAATGAAAAAGAATTTCTAGTCACCAGATGGGCTATCCTATTGCTGCTCCAACTTACAAATCGCACATTAAGCCCACTATGACTCGCGAAACAATGCACGACCTTCTCGAGAATGGCCCCCATCCGATTATCTCGGGTCTCAGCTCGATTGATCTTGTCAATGACCACTTTGGCATCGCCTTCAAACCTTGTCTCCGTAAATCTCAGACTTAGACACTAGAGAATAGCCTACCGGAGAACAAGCAGCTCAACAACCATAAGATCATCAATTTCCGGAAATTGTACCCCTTTTGCCAAGGACTTCTCCATCTTGATTCAGAATAATCATCTCACCTGCCGAGTGTGATCCACATTTAGTTGCCACATCCCACATACAAACTACCGCATTTTGATGTACAACACCCAAAGGTCGTGTTTGTGGGTTGGACAATTGGAGACCACGATATACTGGCAAACTAATCCACTTTTGGGATTGTTGGTTGAATTGTCGCATTAGAGCAGGATCCCAAACTGTTTTCCCTCAAAGACAACCCAGTTTCGTGACTGTCATATCCTCAAAAGGACTGCCACAACCGCCATGAACAGTTGAGGTTGACTTATGAGTAACATCAACTTCTTTAGGAAGAGTGGGAAAGTGTGACGAGACAGTACTTGACCAAAATATTCGAGTCCCGAATAATCCCATAAAGCACTGGCCACTGGGCAACCAAGAAACAAATGTTCTATTGTTTCTAATTCGGCCCAACAAACCGAACATCTGGGAAGCACCTGAACATCTTTCTCGATGAGGGCTTTTGTCGTTGACAGGATACGGTTGAAAATTTGCCAAACAAACACTTTCAATTTGGGTGAATATTGGTTGCTCATAATCGGATCCAGCTGGATCTATCCATCTAACTAGCCATGGATCTCCACCGACCATCCTACTTATCTAACAAGACAGCAAAATGATAGGTCGATTTAATCATGAAAATCATGTCAGTCGTGTCATGCCAGATCAATCTATCATCCACCTCTAGACGAGAGAGAGGAATCAATTTGATGACACGACAAGTTGTCGGGTCAAACCACTAGCTAAGTTTCTAGTCACACCAGCGCTCCTCCCCTTAACAAAGAACCCCCGCCACCGGCAGGTCTCCTCCTTCGGGTAGCACCTGGGGGTTATACATCGATGGATAGAGATGTAAGCGAGGAATCCAATTGGAATGGAGACGAGATGTCGTCTGGCCATTACCAATCTGCCATCGCAATCCCATCGCCAATAGCTGTCGGCCATAAAGGATACTCTGTCACCCCCAAGACGGTCGAGAACACGCAGTAGCACTCATGAAGGTTCCATTTTGAGAATATTTTCCTTTGTAAACCTGGGTTAAGGGGGAATTAGGGTCATTAAGGATACGTCATCCAATTTTGGCTAGGAGTGCCTGGTTAAAATGTTCGAACCGATGGAACCTCGTTCCCCCTTCATGCTTACTCCTGCGCATAATCCGCCAGGACATCCACTGTATCCTAGACTGGCCTTCCTCAACACTCCACCAGAATCTAGTCACATGTTTGTCCAATAGGCGACAAAGAGAAAGAGGGAGCTTGAAACGGGACATTACATGCAATAGCAGCGCTAATGCAACTTATTTAATCAGAGTCTCCTTCGTTGCCCAAGACAATGTCTGTTGCTTCCATCCCTAAAGTCGTTCCAATCATTTTTCCTCCAAATACTGAAATGTAGTAAATTTAGATTGGGCTATCAAAGTAGGTAATTCTAGATATTTATCTTGAACTGCCACAACCCTGACACCAAAAATTTGGACCAAGAAGATATTTTTACTAAAACAAATTGTCGATTTAGCCAAGTTCACCCGTTGATCACTCAGTTTCTCGTACTTGTTTAAGGCCTCGATCAAATTTTCACATTCCTGTAGAGATCCTCTAAGGAATAGATAAGAATCATCTGTTAATTTTGCCACATTAGAATTTTCGTTAAGGAAAGGAGAAAAGAGTTTCATTATAACCTAGCTTACTCATATGGAAAAGATGTTGACGATTTTAATTCTTGTGATGATTTTTAGTTATAAAGTTTTTATGACGATCAAATAAAAATCATTACGATGGTTTTATTGTGTTTCTAGTCATTTGCAAACATCTACACAGCACCCAGCCTGCAGAAGCAGTGGTACACCGATAATTTATTCATTTACCCCCTCCTCCCTAATTTGTTTCATCCCCATAATAGCAGTAAAAAAGTTCGATTAGGTGAATCTGAATCCTTTTCTAACCTAGTAACTCCATTACATGCTTCCAGTTTTGGGGAATCACGACTACAGAGGCAGCGTAGAAGCACAACTGAGCCCAACACTACAAGACCCTCTTCTTCGATTCCACCAATCGTTCTCAACTGCCACAGAACCCTGGACTGAAAAATTGCAGAGCTGTAACCCCTGTCTTCTCGATTCCATATCCCCCCATTCTCAACTCAACCACGACGAGATCGTGATTACCCCTACGATCATAAAGGTAGCCATAAATCTTACCCTGGTGGGCAATGGTTTCACCGTGGAACGCATCTACTCCTAACTTGCTTGGCCTCGTATGTAGACTGTAGTGTCCATTTTTAATCACCATCTCTCCAAACCATTGCCACATCCTTACCCTTAACACCATTTTCTTCTTCATCATCCATCCTAACGAAAACCATCACAACTAGTTTCGATTTCCCACGAGGCACATGAACCGCGAGACCTTCTCTGTCGTAGCTGAAAGATGTTCCCATGTGGGTAGTGGGATTTCAGCCATGAACGAGGGATACAACAAAGAACAAGAACGAACCTTGTTGTCAATCAACACCAGCAAATGTCCATGATCAAGACTACTGGAGGAGTACACCTTCTTCGAACCGATTTTGAGTGCTAGTTGCTCCATGCTTCTTGAACGGTCAACCATCAGCTGCCCTTTGCTTAAATCAATCAGCCTCCCGCTTCTCCTTCTCCACTCCTCAAAACAAGACATGGTCGAGCCATTGGCGTTCATCTCGCCGTTCATCTCTGCCACTCCTTCCTTAATCCCTGATCCATCCGACTATCGCGCATGCCTCTCGCGAGGAGGAGGACGACGACGAAGCGCCGCCACATCTTCCTCCTCCTCCGCCTTCGCTCTACCGTCGCGATGCTCCTCAATCGGAGGACGATTTTCTCCGAATCGACCTCGATGGATGGGATTGGAAGAAGAGAGAGCTTGTTCGGAGACCACTGTCATCTCAGCCACGATTTGCCGTCGATGAAGAAGAACGAGGCGGAGAGATGTGACCGCGACGGAGATTTCCAACTGCGCGGACGGCGGCGCTGCCCAGGGAGGCCGCGTCGGAGCGTTTTGCTCCTGATGGCGCCGACGGTTGGAGAGATGCGGATTGGCACGGCGATGGCAGAGGATTGGCGCCGGAGAAAATTGTTGTTCGGAGGTACAGATTCGGCCGCCGCTGTTGATGGAGAGACAGGGAGATAAAACACGTTTAGGTATTTAGATTTTGTTTATTTATTTATAATTTTTTATTTATTGCTATTTTACTCTTATACCCTTGTTGTTAGTATAACAACACTTGAGGTGTTGTTATACTATCCGGAGCCTATACATTTGGCATTGGACAAGTTATCGAATAATGCAAAACAAAAATATTGGGTTAATTGCATGGTTGGTGACTGATATTACAAAAAACGTTTATGTTTGGTCATCGAAAATATTTAAATCCAATCTTGGTCACTCAAATTAGTTAAATGGTTCAAGTTTAGTCACTCTCCGTCCAACTCCATTAACTTTTGCTTATGTGGTTGTCAACTTTTATAGTTGATCGTTAAATGTGTGACATGAAAACTAAAAAAATAATAAAATAAATTTTAATTTTTCAGAATTTCCATCTCATTTCCAACTATTTAAAAATAAAAATTTCTATCACAAAGACTGCTACGCCGACGAGATTTCGCAGAACCGGCGATTTCAATTTCCAAATCAGAGGCGACAGCTATTATGTACTCGTCTGGGACGACGGGGCCAGCAAAGGCGTGATCCTGACGCACTCCAACTTCAATGTCGTGATGGCGATGATGAAGTGATCGGTCCGGGCGACGTCGACAAAGGAAGACACCTTCGTCTGCTTCATCCTGATGTTCTGCATCTACAACTTGGCCTTCTTCACCCTGGGACTATTCACATTGGGGATCAATACCTTCCTGATCCCGCAATTCGACCTCGAAATGATACTCCAATCGATCGAGACCCACCGGGTCAACAACATCCCGGCGGTCCCTCCGGTGATCCTCGCGATGGTGAAGTACACGACCGCGTTGGGTTGCGGTCTGAGCTCGTTGTGACAGGTGGGGACAGGAGCGGCACCGTTGAGCATGGAATTGGAGGAGGAGTTCCGGCGGCGGTTCCCGTGGGTGGGATTGCGGGCAGGATACAGGCTGGCGGAGAGCTACGGTGCCACAATGATGTTCGAGCGCGGCGACGATGTATGCCAAGCGGCTGCCCGACGGGTAGGGGTGGCAATCGATCGATTTCGGTTTAACCGAAAACCAAAAACCCGGTTATCGGTTAAACCGAGACACCCCCTCTACCTGCCGACCACCAACCGTGAGAATGGTCACAGTTAGCCGGCCAACCGACCGGCCAGTTTCGGTTTTAGGCTCGGTTAGCCAGCCAACCGGAAAACAACCTTTTCAAAAAAAAATAAAAAAACCAAAATTTCTGCACCACTCACTCCTAACCCCTCACACTTCTCGATTCTTCTTCTTCCTTTTCCAGAGAAACCCGCCGCTAACACCTATCTCTCTCCCTACTCTCTCTTGAATCTCGATTCTCTTCTTCCTTTCTCT